ATAATAAATATATGTATATGTATGTGAATAAAACATAGGATTTGCCATTTTAACAACTGATGTCTACAACTCAATGGCAGTAAGTATAGTTACAGTGTTGTATATTTTCACCACTGTCTTGTTCTAAAACTTAAAGTTTAGCCTAGAAGAATTATTCCCTGTAAGTAGTTTTGTCTTTAAAGGGCAGCTTTTCAACATTATTAGTAAACATTACTCAAGGAGCTCTGGTGATACAGTGCATAAGGTAGTGCACTGTTAAACAAAGGTCAGTGGTTCAAATCCACTGCTTCATCTGTGGGAGAAAGATGGACAGTCTTGTTAAGATTTCTAGTCTTGATGAGCTCTGGTGGACTAGTGGCAAGAAGCTGTATTGCAATGCCAGAGGTGAGCGGTTCAATCTACCAGATGCTCTGCTGGAGGAGGGACAATCTCCTATACCAGTCAGATCCGAATTGACGGTACACACACACACACACACACACACACAAATTAAATTAAAAAAAAAGATTTCCAGTCTCCAGAACCCAATACAGGGTTGCTATGAGTCAGATCTGACTCAGTGGCAGTGGGTTTGAGTGCTGGGTAAGGCCCATGGTGGGGGAAGTGGTTTGTAGTCATCTGCAGAATTACAGGTTGGCCGTGTGAACTCACCTAGCAGCGGCGTAGATATAAAGGCCTACAGTCTGCTTCTGTGAGGATTATAGCCAAGAAAACCCCATGCGTGAGTTCTGCTCCAACACCCAGGGTCAAGCATGAGTTGAAATCAGTGTGATGTCAGGGAAGTCGGTGTAGTTTTTGTACTCAGCACTGTGTAGGCCAACGAAGTTCATTCTAGTGGGAAGGTATGTGTGCAGACAAAAATGCCGTGACAGTGACATGTCCAGGTGGTCCAGCCTAGCAGGAGGAGACAAGCATGTTCTCAGGAAAAGGTGTGCATCATTGTTTAGTGTGAATGTAGAACCATCAAAGTCGAGACCTGAGGTAGAGTCCAGGCCTTCTCACTGGCACTTGTGTTCCTTTAAAATTTTTTGTCTCTCTTTGTAACTTCAGAAAAAGAAGCAAAAAAGGTTGAAGGATTTGACATGGTTCAGAAGCCAAGTTACTACGTCAGACTGGGGTCTCTGTCTTCCAAGTTCCGTTCCCGTGCCTACCAGCAGGCTCTCAGCAGGGTTGAAGAAACTAAGCAAAAATGCCAACAGACCATCTCTCAGCTCCATTCCACTGTTAAACTGGTGAGCACAGCTTTGTTTTGAGGACCTCTGAAGTGAGTTCATTCATCTCAAGAGATGAGAATAAAGCATGATTTTGAAATTTTAGAGTTTTAAAATTAGCAACTCATTAGAAAAAAAAATGGGCAAAAAATAGTCAATAGACAGGAAAAGTATAAACATATGAAAAGATTTTAAACTTTAGCGCTAAGGTAAGATAAATACACATTTCTTTTGTCCTTTACACTGGCAAATTTGATGCTGCTGGTGAGATTGTAAACAGGCACACTGGTGGTATTCTGGAGAATTCAGGGGACAAATTATAGAGATTTATTGGCAGTACATAGGAAATTACAAATAGACCTATTTGATCAATCTTACTTTTAGGAATTTGTCCTATAAATGCATGTATTAGATTTGCAAAAGACTGCAGATAATGAGATAATGCATGCCAAGTGGTAGCGGATGAACTAAATGGACATTTTTTTTAATTGACATTTTAGACCAATACATACTGTACTGCCATGACTAAATGTTTCCTCCTTGGACAGGCACTAGGTAAGAGGGAGAGTGAATGTCTTACTCTTGTTCTTATTTCACACATGTACAGATGAAATTGTGTTATCTGGCAAACAATCTGTAAATTTGGAAACAGTGGTTTATAATGATGTAGTTGTTATGTGCTTTCAAGTTAGAACTGACTCATAGTTGACCCTCTCCATCCGGCTTTCAGAGGCTGTAAATGGCACAGGAGGAGATTGCCCATCTTTTTCCCACAAAGCACCCGTAGATTTGAACTGTGGTACGTCGGGTTAGCAGCACAACTTCTTACCACTAAGCCACCAGGCAGTAGTAAAGAGCTATTACTATTTGGCTGTCTTACCCATAGGAATAATAAATAGCAGTAACAGCAGAAGTAACTCTCCTAAAAGACTTATGGAAATTCATGGGCTTTGTGCCATCTGATTTATATCAGGTCTCTGAGCAATGTAATGTAATGTTACTATCTAACTGGTTTGCTCCTTGTCTTGTTTCATTGTGTTCCAGATTGAGTTTGCCAGCAAGAATGTACATGATGCCAACCAGAAACTTCAGGATGCTCAGGATAAACTCTATCTCTCGTGGGTGGAGTGGAAGAGAAGCATTGGCCATGACGATACAGATGAACCCCACTGTACTGAAGTAAGAAAACTACAGGGGTTCTCTCACTTTGCATTTGTATTTTCTTTTTTTTGTTTATTTATTTATTTTTTAATTTTTATTTTGTTTTATTTTATTATTTTTGTGTGCATGTACCGTCAAATCAGATCTGACTGGTACTGGAGGAGATTGCCCCTCCTTCCCCGGCAGAGCATCTGGTGGATTCGAACCGTGCACCTCTGGGATTGTAGTTGCAGCTTCTTGCCACTAGGCCACCAGAGCTCCCCTGCATTTCTATTTTCTTAATTTGCCTCAGCGTACTCTTTTCTATCAAAGACCTGACATTACTATGTATATAGATTAGCTTGTTATGTGACAGGGAAGTAAAACTGGGGAGTCACTTAATCTGCCAACCTACAGATAATCATATGCCTCAAAGTGGTTACAACTAAATGAGAAAAATAGATCCTTCACTCATACATAGTGAGCTCAGATTAACAGGGGATATCAACAGTTCTGTTATTGCCGTGTTTGTGTCACAATATAAATACAGACGCTGTGAGAAGGACTTGATGGAGATCAAAGTCTGCAGCTTTCAATATGAGTTACATCTCAACTTCAAGAAAACAAAGATCCTTACCACTGAACCTTTAGACAACATCATCATAGATAGAGGAAAGATTGAAGTTGTCATCGATTTCATTTTACTTGGATCTACAACCAATACCCATCATAGCAACAACAGCCAAGAAATGAAAGTGCTGCATTGGAAGTCTGCTGTCAAGGACCTCTTTAAGGTGCTAAAGAGCAGGGTGTCATTTTAAAAACTAATATGTGCTTGAGCTAGCCATGATATTTTCAGTAGCTTCCTGGACATCTGACAGACAGTGAATAAGGAAGACCATGAAAGAAAGAAGGAAACAAACTGTGGCTGACTCTGAGAAGAAAGGGGATCCCAGAACACTTGATCGTGCTAATGTGAAACCTCTACTTGGACCAAGAGGCAGTCATCAGAACAGAGCAAGGAAA